AACAACGTTGATCGTTTGATTTAACGCGTTGGTGAACGACACCGAGGCAGCGGCGGCGGCTGCGGCGGCGGCCACGGAACCGTTGTGTGACGACGTGTACTGGTGATGGTGATGGTAAGCGGCAGCGGCTGCCGACTCTAGGGACGACAGGTACGACGTCTTGACGTCCTGGTGACCAGCACCACCTCCATAAGCAGCGGCAGCGGCGGCGGCGGCCGCCACCGAACAGGCAGTTCCTAGGGCACTTTTGGCCGCCAGCATGTTGGGTAGCAAAAAGTTGGCGCCACCGCCTCCGCTTGCCGCATTACCACAATCGCTGACGGCGCGCTTTTTCTTCGACTTGCCGGACAACTTGCGATTTCTGGTCTGAATGCCTTCTTTTTTCATACTGAGCGGTCGATTTACCTTAAATAAAAAACCACCTGGTTCATTAATGAGCCTTGAAAATGCCTTGCATTGCGCCTGTGCAGCTCATTGTGTATTCAGCGCGCTCCTAAAGCGATGTTTATGCGCCCGTTTCATACTAAATAATCGAATAATAGCTGCTATTCATAACACATATAATGTGGTATACTGTAGTCGACCGACCGACCGACCGCCCACCGTACGCCACGCATCGACGATCGAACAGCCGCGGTCGTTCGTTCATTAAACACGGCGACAAAACTACTACAGTAATTGGCTAAATGAGTGGAAGTAAGATCGGTAGATATTTATCGCCTCGGGCAGAGGCAGAGAGACAACGGATCGACCGGCCGCCGGTCGGCTAAACCTGCTCGCTTACGGTTGGGCCGGTCTGGCGATGATTAATTTGTCAGGCGGAAGAAATGCGCTTCTAGCGGCAGCAGCAGAAAGAACCGACGACACAACACAGTGACCGCTGCAAATACCGACGACCAACGATGGTCATCTCCAGGTCACCGCTTGTTACCGAAGAAAAGTAGTTTATGACGGGATGACTTTCGTGTCCAACAGCTGGCCAGGTGCCAGACTAATGAAGGAAGGAAGGAATGCAGCATGGTGGCGTCGATGACGGTCGGTTGGTGGACAGGTGGAAACGGTGACAGGCGAAACAAGTTCTTTTCGTCGTCGTTGTCAATTCGTCGGAGACTCGGCTGAAAGTACCGAGTGCTGTGCCGGGTCTGTCGTCCCAGTTTCGCCTTTTTTGCACCCGGTTCCGCGTCAAATATCGTCGCTCGTCGTCAGAAAGGAAACAATCGACTTAAGTGACAGCAGCACTGCAAAGCCTATACAAACGGTGCCTTTGTGCTGACCAAACTACCTCTG